GCGACACAATATCATATTTGCTATCTTTGGTGGAGCAACCTATCAAACTAGTATGATATTTCTTGCCTTGATTTATATGCTGGTCAGAAATCCAAACTGAGGGTAAGTCAGAAATTTGCCCTTCCAAATGGACCCAGCACCCAGGGTCAGTGGTCAGAGGAGTAAAGGGCAGCTGTGATTTGTCACAGTAACACATGAACTACAGGAACCTCTTTGTTCATCCTTCCCGCTGACTGATTCGCGAACTTGTCTTTATACAATAACACTGATCTTCTGGTAAATTATGGTCTTTATTTTTCCTGTAAGTAATTTCTGTTGTGATGAAGGTAAAAGTCCTCTCTTTCCTTTCTGCCAAGCGTGTAATGTACATTTTGTAAGTGGCACCATCAAGTCAGCTGCTGACAGGGTGTGCTGGCCTGTCTGTCCCACCTGACTCAGACAGTCACCCTACTGTCCATCATCAGACTGACTAGATACTGGTCCAGTCAGACTTTTGCTTGCTTACAAATGTCAGTGCATTATCTTCAATTGTGATACATGTAGACAAGAAGGTTAAATTTAACATCCCTGATGTAGAATACAATCCCTGATGTACAATGTAGAATACAATAGTCAATAGTACTAGAAGAGATGTATTAAACACTATAGATGGCTGAAATAATATTTTGTATTTGCTATCATTAGCTGGTCAGTCTGATATTTCTTGCCTTTATGTATATTCTGGTCAGAAGTGAAAACTAGATGGACCTATTATATCACCCTGGTTCAGAGTTTGCATTACACAGACAAGGCAAAAACTATTTGTAGCGGAACAAAAATTGTATATCATATGTCAATTTTTCCTGCATGTAAATCGGCCTGCTTTGAGTCTGACATACAATGTATGTCAAGAACGTACATTCAGATCATAAATTTATTCCAGCTTGAGGGCTGGCGTATGTTTTGTTCTTTACTTACGTCAAAGCAGGCATCTAAATCAGGTATAACATCTACACATCTACTTGGTTCACCTACATGTACCATCAATCAAGACTCCCATGCGACATTGTCAGCGAAAAGAAAAAAGAAAGAGAAAACTACTTCCAGTCCCAAGAATCGTAAGAGGATCCCTTGAGGTTATAAGACAGCATACCAGAACTTTTTCTGTGATATTCCTCTGGCTCCTGTCTCCAAACCACAAGAAAAACCACATGTCAAGCTGGTCCTAATTACAGTTTAACTTTCAGTGAAAGCCAAATGGCTGGAAGCCTGGGGATGGCAGGATAGTGGGAAGTAGATGTCACCATACAGGAACTTCAGGCTTTCATGGAAGAGACAAGACCAGACCACAGGAAGACCACAGGAATTAGCCACCTTGCCACAACAAAGATACGATGAACAGGACCAATGCCTATTGTATATACCTACCTCTAAGATATAGATGAGCCTCAAACTCCTCCAAGCTCCTTGATCCGATGCAAATCCAGTTTATCTAGTATAAGCTTACTTCTACAGTGTGTTTTATCCTTTTGTGTTTTATGATGAACCAAAAGCCCTTGAATCTAGTAAGTCACTAAGTGCATCACAGTGGATAATAACCTGTATCCCTTGGCAAACTTGTAAACAACATCCCCATCACGTCAGTCAGCAATCTACATAATCACTCGTTTGTTTGGTCATTTGGATGGTCAGACGTTTGCTTTAAATAGGTTAGGCAGGGAGGTTCAACCTCCTTCAATGGTTTAGGGTACTTGAGAAGTGAAGAAAAAGCTACACAAAACCCCGGCACAAATAGCCTGGGTTCCAGACTGTTCACAGGCCATATAGGGGGTCTGTGGTAAAATTTCCTTGGGGACATGTTGGCCCTGGAGCCGAGGATCTACTATCATCTACTGTAGATGTACCCCGGCAACAGTCTGGTACCCAGGCCATATGGCACCTAGTGCAATACTGTACTTTGCTACAGATATGACAACTTGTGCAAGGTCATTGAATCGACACATGGGAACAGAAAAAGTAGTCACTTTAGATGACCTATTTATGGATATGTCCAAAAATGTCAAATATATGACAGCAGTTCCTATGCGGTCTGCCTATTTACCGGAATACACCGGAAAACACAGTTAAACACCGGAAAACACATATAGGAGGCTAAAATCTACCGGAATACACCCTGCTTAGACGAGATAACATCCCAAATTGCTGTGTTTTGCCATTAAATAGCGTGTAAATCGCCGCAGGAACCCGGCAACAAGAAAATAGAAATCATTATAATTTAGCGATCGGTGGAGGCGACCCGACAAGTCGCCATGTTTGTTTACATTGCGGACTACGATGTTTGTTTAGCGCCATCACAGAAGAGAATGGATTATTCAGATTGATGCGGTTCCCATACACACAACTCCGAACTAGTTGGAAGAAAGATAGTTGCATAGGATGCCAGTGAATGATTGCTACGAGGTCGGTCTGTTGGATAAAAGCGCAAAAGTCCGACGATAAAACTGCCAGACATTTTCCGGAAGCAACGCAAATCGAAGGTCAATGACCCGCACAGAGCGAGTGCGTGCGTCAGCGAGCGGCGGCATTTGATAATTTCCTGCAAAGCTTGACACTGAAATTTCATCTGATTTTGCCGAGGACAGCCCTGAAGTTTTATCGTAGTCGATCTAAAATATAATCGCCAGGATCTGAACATGTTCTCTTCAGCGATATTTTAGGCGATCGCGAATCGCTCATGAGCGTCAGGGTACGCTGACTTCGGCACCATTCGATCATGAATAAAGAACACCAAATACACCAAAAATCCGGATAAGAATATTTATTTCCCCAAAAGACTTTTTGAGTTATACATTTATTCACAAGAATTTCGTTATGTAGTGGTGGAAATTAGCGTTATTTTCAATGATATACAAACAAAAATCGGACGCTAAAACTGCCAGACATTTTGCTCTTCGAGTCCACTCAGCCGCCGGAACAACGCAAGCCGAAGGTCAATGACCTGCGCCCGGCCAGTAAACAAACTCGGTCGAACACGTAACGTGTTACATCGGCACGCCACGGCATCAACAATTTTCTTCAATCAAATGCACGAAATTGCGACCAGAGTACTTCGCCGATGAAACCACTACAGTTTGGACTCTATAGTAAAAGTAGCTAAGTTTGATATTGTGACTGTTTGTTTGAGAAATAAAACTGAATCTATTGATACATTTTGGGGGGCGCGTACTTTTCCCACAGCGTGGCTTCACGTACATGTACTTGATTGACAGGCGTTTCCCTTTGAAGAAGTTGCCGCCGGGCGCCGCTGGCGCCGACTAGTCTAGTCGGGCGGCTCCAATCAGTTTCGTCCATCTTCGTTACAAACACGATCTGCACCGACTATAACCGAGCCTCTGTGATTGGTTTCCGAAGAATCTCGAAAATTGCCGAATATAAAGAAGATTGTTCTCCAGCGTTTGTTTGTATACAGTGCGGAGCTAGAGCATTCAGACCAGCCATAAAGGGACTGATGTTTCCGCACAAACCAATCGTTTTTTTACTCCAATCGCCTGTTGACACGACATATGAAGTCTTTTACTATATAGCTTTCATTATATAGCTGATTGCTGAAGTAGTCTTCTTGATTGTGAAAGAATTGATGATATTTGCTGCTGGAAATTCGACAACAAACACGCCCGGCGTTGCGTGTGCGTCGCAAGCCAAACTTTAGGAAGCGAGTAGACAGTAGGTCCTTGTTCTAACATGAATAATTCCTGTCGAATATCACTAGAAAAATTGTCCAGATGTTCTGCTTAATTTAAAATGATGAACTGGGGTAAAAAAAACAACAGTTTTCTGAGCTGAGAGTTGGCTAGGGCGGGAAGGTATCGAAGGAGCCGGCGGCTTGCCCACATCGGCAGCGCAGCGTGGATCCGGCAGCGTCTGCGACTAATCGAGGCCGCAACACGTGTGGCTATGTAGTAACATTGTTGTCTCTGCTGCTTAAACAAGCATCTAAACGAGGACGAAAGATCCAACGTAACGAGGACCAAACACCCATGACCACGAGGACGAAAGATCCATAATATAATAGGACAAGAAAAACGGTTCATCATTTTTAGAAATTGGCGTCACATGATTGTCACTGAGAAAAAGTGACGGACAAAGGTTCACTAGCGTTATAGCCGGCTGCTAAGTAAACAAACATGGCGTCTGGCCGGGTCGACTCCGCCGATTCATAGTGATTTCTTGTTCCCAACGTCATATAACAAAGTCATATACGACTTATTTCATGCCAGAATGTAGCAACTTGCGGTACCTGCATCAAAGACCTCTTCATTTCGGTAAATTTCACTTCTGTACGGCGATCGCGTTAAACAAACATTTCGTAGTCGGCAATGTAAACAAACATGGCGACTGGTCGGCTCGCCTCCGCGATCGCCGATCGCCAATTCATAACGATTTCTTGTTCCCGCGGCGATATACACGTTACTTCATGTCAAAATACAGCAATTCGGTATGTTATCTCATCATATCAGGGTGTATTCCGGTAGATTTTAGCCTCTTATATGTGTTTTCCGGTGTTTTCCGGTGTTTAACTGTGTTTTCCGGTGTATTCCGGTAAATAGGCAGACCCGTTCCTATGTGGGAATGCTCTCCAAGATATTTTCAGAGATGACACACATAGACTCCATATATAACCTCCCGTGAGTTTCTTATCTCCGTTAGTTAAGGTAACGTTATATAACAAGAACTTCATCTATTCAGAAGAAGACCCCGCATATCAGAAATATATATAAAAGGTCGTATTAGTTGTAGCTGTAACAGATTAGATGGAAAACAAATTTAAAGCATCACTCTTTGCGAAAAGCTCATTTGTGAAACAAAGGGATAAAAAAACTTGACCTTGGTTAAAAAGTGTATAGATTAGAATCAGGCTTTGAAGTTTGATCTACCACACTGTCCGCCCACTCCCAACGTCAACAAACCCGTAAAATACCGTCCTGCGGTCAAAACATGGCCATCAAAACATCACTGCCTACCTCGGTCAACCCGGAGATCACTTTGAATCCTGGTGAAAAATGGCCTCCTAGCAGACGAAAATTGTGTTGTTCTGAAAATCCTCGCTCGATTTTGGTATAAAGAAGGTCTTCTGTGTAAGCTGATGTCTTGCAAGTTAGTTTATAGGTTGTTCTTAGGATGCCGCGCGAAGATCTCGACGCGATCCACGTGCTGGAAGGCCGCGGGAGTGTGGTGTTTGTACCGTGTGGCTTCCCGCTTCTCAACTGTCCTGAGTTTCTGCTTCATGTTTGTTTTTCCGACACCGCTACCCGGAAGTGACAGACGAAGTGACACCGCATCTAAGTGTAGTAATAAATAAAGCCAGAATTCAATACAAAAACAAAGCTACATCCAGCTACAAGACACAGTATATTTACAAAACGTTAATGATATTGCAGCATCTATCATCTTTGAACTGTTAAGTCATGTTTATGGTTTGATAACAATAATTTCTACACACTACCATTTATGCATTTGGTTGTGGTGTGGGTAGTAAATTAGAGTCACGTGGTTTTGTATTTACATCTTGTTCCCAGAACATTCATGTACGGGTGCTTGATTTGGGTGTTATACTCAATATGATTATACCTTTTACAAAATTTGATTATTTTTATATAATTTAGTGCCTAATGCGTGCCTAATATTGATATAGATAGCGTGAAGTTCAAGTATTTACAAGGAGTTGGGATGGATACGAGTGGGGGTCAAACCAGGTCAAGCAGAAGAGCAAATATGGCGGCTTCCGGGTAATGGAATTTCTCTCTGCTTTTTTTTGCTCTGCTCATTCACGTTAATTGTCTGCATTTCTCAACGTGTCGAGTCGAGTCAGAATGATCAGCCGCGTGCGGAATGTCGTGAACTCGGTGATGGGCGGCCTGGCGGCGCTGCCTCAGCCCCCGGAGCGCCCGCAGCCCGACGATCTGGAGCTGAAGTATCCGTACTGCCGGCCGGAGTTCCTCCAGCTCTCGCAAGACGAAATCCAAGTGTCGGCCGACCACGTTTCGCGTCCGATCATGGTGCCCAGGGAACCCAACAGACTCCCGTGGAGTGCGGGATATGCAGAGTAAGTTGGATAGATTACCTAGTCGCGATGTCAACACATTAATATAATTTTGCTACAGACGAGATTATGAAATTTTTAGGTCTCCGTGTCAAAGGACCGCCACGGCTACCAATGGGTCAGGAAAACTGGATTTTTCAAAGTCAATTTTCATCAGTCACATCATTTATCTGAATGTAGTGAGTTGAACGAAGGACGTTATAGGGGATAACCACCTTGGTTGAACCAACCGTACCCCACATCATACATCGGGTTCATACTGATATCTGTGACTGTTGAAAGCTCCTTTCTGTGACTGTGAGGCAAAAATGCGATGTTGCTGACGGAAAACAGTTGTTTGTTTTGTATTTGTAGCTATTTATCGGTGGTACCAAAAAATAGGACTTCTCACGTAGCTTGTTTTGAGGCTATTTCAAATGCTTCAACTATGAAACATTGACAATAATAGCAGTAAATGTCAATACCACACAGATTTCCTCATCCAGAATATTTTTGTTGTCCTGAAATTGTATAGTTGTCTTGAACACTAATGGTAGTCTAGATCTTGACCGGTAGACCACAGCAGCAAGAGAGGTTTGAAGTACGTCTATGAAGGTGTTCACCAAAAGGAGAGTGATCCTTGTAGTCCGTCACACCGACAGGCAACTGACAGCTCGTTTAACCCAAGAGTATCCACGGCAGCACTGAATAAAGCACCGATATCGATCAGTCGCCTGTGTTTTGCCAGTACCCCAAATTTATACTGTACAAAGGCTTGCACTGGCCTTGAGCAGTAGGGAGATTTTTCAACTGTTTGTGCCAGATTCTTTATTTGTTGTAACTAGACTGGCTGCTGTCAGTTTCAGTCCAAAAAAGCTTTCATATCAAATTTTCATGCCCCAGTGGTGTAAATACATGTGTTCAGTTTTTGGACCAACTAAATGTTTAACACTAAGTTGTAAGATTACAACATGGCACATTTTGCAAGAATCAGGTTAATGTTTGCACCTTCGGTGGTAAGTAATTATGTATTTAGATAATTTGGATGATAAAGATCTGTGTCACCTTCTTATAAGAAGTAATGGGGCATGAATGTCCGCAGGACATCTAACTACACTGTAGTCCCAGTTCTCAGTCTGGATTAGGCCACAACAAGTAAATTATATGGTTGACATCCTCTTTAAATACCAGATTTATTGCAAGAGGGTAAAACAACAAGGCAGGCAAAAAACAAGATTTCTACATTTTCAAGTCTTGGATCTCTGATGGTCTCTTAACCAAACGTTTATGACATATCTTTGGCATGTTGACCACTGTCCAAGGGCAACAACATTAATTTTCTTTTTTTAATCAGGTGAAAATTTATGCATGCACTGATGATGTCCATAAAAATTACTTGTTGTGGCATAAGTTGTTTTGCAAAGATCTGCAATATCAGTGCTATGTATAATTTTCAGTCACTGTTTATGACATATTACCTGTACAAGCAGGGCGTACATTAAAATTATATCATCAATTCATCATCATCTTCACCGCATATCAGCTACAGCAGAAGAAATAAGCTGCTTGACAAGTGGTTTATTAAAGATCATAAAAACAAAGAGGAAGCAATCCTTTTAATCAGGTAGTACGTATTCTCCGTGTTTGATTTTTGGGAGGATTTTAGGTGATTAGCCGACGTAATGATGAATGTTCTGTTTCATCTCTGACCCACTTCTCGTCAGGTACCCTTTCAATCCAGCCACTGGAGCATTTCCATTTACGTCATCATTAAGTGGTACCTGCCAAGATATTCTTGAATCAGTCTTGACAGGTTAAAAACCATTCCAAAAAGATACATATCTAATACTGTATAGCTCTCCAGTTTCAACAAGAAGAATTTTACTGGAAGCATTTCCACATATAAGGTAACCTTGTAAAGCTGCCACAAGGCCCACAAGTCATTAAGAGATAATGGAAACACAATAACAGGCCAGCAAGGAATGGGAAAGTACATAATTGCATATATGGTTTGCTCAAAGGTCAGGCTATTGAGCAGCAGGTTGGCAGAACGTACTGCGCCTGCGTGAAACTTGGATATTCTCACGGTTTCGTTTGGTCAAGTTGCCTCAGAATTTTTGCCCGTTGCAGACAGTATCTTTTCCGATGCAAAATTTGGAAACTATAGACAGGATGCCAACCTTAATATTCGAATATGACCTTAAAAACAAGACTTTCTGCTGAAGTCCTATTCTATGTCAAGAATGTATGTTCAGATGGTATGCCTAGAGGTAATGTACGATCTGAACATACATTTGTGACGTACGTTAAAAGCAGGCCGAGTTACGCCCAGGAAAATTTGATGTACACAGTTTTTGTATGCTTGCGTGCCTATGCAGCTTTTATATCAGGTTGTGTAAATCAGATCCAAATCATGTTGCTTTTTAATTACAGAAGCAGACAGCCTTTTCACGCACCAGTGAGCCACTTTTGCATGGAATCAGCTACAGCATTAATCTCAGTAAAGCAGTAGAATAAGCAGTGTACGTATAGTTGAATGTTTGCTGTTATATAAGACGTTCACACCAACAACCACCAGTGTGGAAAGAAGAATGTGTTACCCTCAAGCATAACAATTAGGATCTGATTACTAGTTATGTCCTCACGTGTTTGGCAAACCACTAGTCAATTCTAAAGTTGCCTGGGGGAACCTTGTGTGGCTTTGGATTTAGGACAATGATCTGTAAAGCGAAGAAGACAAACCCAACAAAATTAGTACCAACTACCACGTATGTTGCAGAAGGTAGTATCACGTAGACTCTCATATGATTGTACCTTCCTTTTCTTACATGTTGTTGTTTGTATTTGCAATTAGCCCTTGGGCATGTATTTGCAATAAACTTTCTTCTGTCTGTGTAAATCGGCCTGCTTTGATGTACGCAAAAAGGTTACGTTCAGATCGTATCCCAGCCCTCGTTCTGAAGGTACATGTACTCCAAAACAGGTTAATTTAGACGCATGGAAAATTCAATGTACGCCATTTTTGTATACTCTTGTGCACAGTTTTGTACGTCAGGTTTTTTTCCACGTGCGTGAATTGCGTCAAAGACGTAGACTTACTGACTAGTCAATGCCCAATTCTAGTTCAATAGAGAACAAAGAATGGCCCAATTCAAATTTGTACTCCTTCAATTAAGGAGTTTAAAATTTGATCTCCCCTAAAACTGTTGTAGAGTAGAAATTCATCTCAATTAGACCGTGTTACATAATTAGACAATGTTACATAATTACGTGTTAAATATGGGATCTCAGGTTGCTTGATGCTATATCTCCAAAGCCAGCAGAGTACTTTTACCTCAGTTGACTGATATTGTTACAGATGTATGATTTCCCATGATTATATTCTGAACTATTGATCAAAAAAGGCTTTGGCAGCAAAGCATATCCTCATGGTCAGCCATCTGAAAACTCTGCTCTTTCTTGCGTTTCATCCAGATTGCCTAAAGGCATCTTTTAAGTATTATGAGGAATAAAAATTGTAATGGAATACTAAAAGAGTATTATCTGATTTCTAAGGTTTTCACAAGTAAGTCTCCGCTGTTGTGGTAGTAAATTCTCTGCGTGTATTTTGCTATGACCAATGTAGATACAAATGTAAGTATCCTTTCATGCCCTTAGGCTATGCTAGTTTATTTTGTTGATTCTCTGATTTTTTTCTGCAAAGAAAAAAACAGGCCTACTAAGGCATCCTATGATAGCCTTAAAATCTATGGTAAATAATGATGAAAACATTGTGCTAAGAAATGGCAATAAGTGTCAATATTAGACACAATCCCAAACATGGCTAAGTTTGTATCCCCCCTCATCTCAGTTCATCACTGGGTTGTAAAAATCCATATATACATACATACTGTGTCCTACCAACCTGATGAAATTATTACCTTAGTCAGAAGGTTATGTGTTTAGGTACACTATATAGGGGTTCAGGGCTCGAAATACTTTTTTCAGCCAGGTGGCGCATGTTGCCACCTGAGTCAAAAGCCAGGTGGCGCCATCAGTATCCAAGTGGCAACACTTCCAAGTTATCATTTTCTTCAAATCTGCTACTTATATCTATTACGTTTTCTTCTAGTTAACTACTTAAGTTTTATGTTATAAAATAAAGTAATGTAAAGAACACAAAAGCTCTCAAACAACAATGTTTTAATAAAGAATGCCACCTTTACATCACTTCATCACAGGGCTGCCGCCGTGGGAATGCCACGCCTCTACATGGCGGCACACTTATGCGGGTGGTGTTACGTGCGCCATGTTCTTCGTTTGCGCAAGGATAATGTTACTCTCATCTGCCAAATAAACATACCCCCCGGAATAAACATACCCCCCGGACAAATCTTCAAAATCTAATAAAAAATGGTATTAGCTTGATTTAAAAAAAAATTGGGCATAGGTTCCCCGGATGACCCCTAACCGGGGGCCAACGGTGCTTCCACAAGTTCAACAAGTGAAAAATACATGATACAAATTGTACATGTACTTATTACCTGGAACTTGGAGCAAGTATTCCTAAGGTGTTACGGACATAATTAATATATACCAAACTTTTTAACCCAATCATATTTCCCAACAAAATCACATATTGACACAGCTGAACAAATAAAAATGTGATTATGTCTATAAACTCATACTAAAAAAATTTAGAGACACTCAATAAAGAAAGTAAGAAAGAAAGAAAGCATGCTCTTAATATCTGATTCTCCCAATTGTAAAAGCCCCCACAGCATCCAACCGCACATTCATAGAAACAACATTATATTCTGACACTAGAAACCAATAAATTCGGAAAATTTCACAGTAATGTTTACAAATTAACCTTTTAAAAATACGAGTGAATTTTTATTTCTGTCGTTGCCGAAAAAATTTTTTTCATGCGTGTAATACTAGTACATGTATCTTGGACGCTTGGATGCTATCTTCACCTTTGACCACATTGTTGGAAGCAGCGTCGGCCATTTTCATTCTGTCTTTCGAGCTGTTTTTTCCGACAAATTTCAACCGTTTTAACATTTTACGGCCTCAGAAACTCATATAACGACGAAAACAAGTTGTAGTTGTTATTTTCATGCGTAAAATTTCTTCTGGGGATGGATTATTTTTCCGCCGAGCCGCCGAAAACATAGCGTCGCATGCGGTTGGTCGGGCGGCCGGCAGGATTTTGTATTGGCGCGCTTTGCATGTAAACAAGGACAGTCGGAGTTGTTTACATGAAAATTGTGTTGTGAAACGCCAGCGAGGTGTCTGATTTTCTACCAATGAGAACGTTTTCTTTGTGGCGTCATGGCGAGATCGACAATTCATCGACAATTCACAAGATTGTGCCGACAATGGGGCCCGATCCATGCGATTAGCGGCTCAATCCACGCAAATTATAGGTGGCGCGCTGCGCCACCTGAGTTTAGGAATAAGTGGCGCCAAGCAAAATCAGGTGGCGCCGCGCCAGTGCGCCACCAGGTATTTCGAGCCCTGGGGTTGCTGATTTTGTGATCGGTTATAACTTGGGGTGTGGTGCATGTATCTTTATGATATTTGGTAGGTAGGATGTGGTTGGCAAAAGGAAGCTCAAGGTCAAGTATGGGTACTCTAGTAGTATTGTAAGGCACTGCAGCGGGTACCTTGTTTTTACCGGGTTTTTATTTTAACCTGTTCATTTTTTGGTGACTGTTCCAGGGTGATCAATGCGGGAAAGAGTCCCAGAAATGAGGACCAGGCTGCCACGGCCCAGCTGTGTATCAGCCGACCAGCCAGGACTCCTAACAGGAACACCAACAAAGCCAACAACAAGGGCAACAACGGAAACTCAGGAGAGGACAACCCACATCAGGAGGCCATGGCAGAGGAGGAAGAGGTCAGATATAATACTGTAATTCCTGATTTTTTCACGGTACTTTTTATATTTACGGTTTTCACAGTGACATCAGGTACAGGTATAGGTACAGGTACTGGTACAGGTATAGGTACAGGTATAGGTACAGGCACAGGTGCAGGTAGAGGTACAGGTATAGGTACAGGTATAGGTACAGGTATAGGTGCAGGTAGAGGTACAGGTATAGGTACAGGTACAAGTAGAGGTACAGGTATAGGTATACATTGTGGGTACAGGTATAGGTACAGGTATAGGTAATGGTAATTATGACCTTATTTACATAGTCAATGAGACAAAAAAAAAATTTGCAGGTACAAGTACCAGGTACAGGTACAGGTACAGGCACAGATACAGGTATAGGTGCAGCGGTTTGGTCACAGGTCTGGACCTATACCTATACCTGAACAATTGGACAAATGAACATATTAACACAGGACTTGAAATGATGTAAACTTTATATTATATCTGAGTCTGACCCTTACCCCTTCCCTCATGTCTTCATTGAAAAGCAGCCTGCATGCCAATTTGATCTTCTCGTGAATAAAGAATGGTTCAAACAAACATGTTCTTTTGAACATGAAAAACAGTAATAGACTTAAAAGAATCTTTATTCAAATAAAACAGGAGAGAACTGGGCTGCCTCACGCTTTATTCAAGCAAAACAGAACCATGTGCACTGTTTTCTTGTTGCATACAATACATAGCTAAGATATGTTGTGTATTAGTTATACGCCATCTAGATGTCACTGGTGGTTAGTGATTAGGTATTTTGGACCAGTATACCTAATTGTACTACACTGTACATGTAGTCTATGGTCTCAGCAGGGGTGACCTAGAAAGAACCAATAATGTTACACAAGGGAGAAGAAACATGAATTAACAAGGATAAAAGTGAATTTTAACAGGGATCAAATGTAGTGGCAAGGTTAGTGAGTGTATGCAATTCAGCGCCAAGGACAGGAATGTGAATTCAGCACCAAGGACAGTGGTAGAATACTGATGGTGCTAAGTCTAGCATGACAGATGATGGCTAAAATACTTTTTTCTGCATCTGTGCAGGTAGCATTGGAAATAACCTTCCCCCAGACAAATTTTGCCTGTAAAATTCAGAATCTATGTAGTATCTAGCATACTAAAAAACTGTTATTAACAAACCGCCATTCTTTATTTCATAATTCATAGTTGCAGCAAAATGAAGATCCACACATGTATATTTAAACCAGTGCAGGTTAGGTGCAGGTAGACATCAGAAATACCTGCACAGCCCCAATTTTACCTGCAGTAACCTGCATATGTAGGTGGTCCTTTTAGCCCTGCAGAGTATGATTGATGCAGTGCTAGGGACATGGCTACATATTGAGAAGAACGAAGAGCAATAAGTATTCACACACAGGAACACCAGAGACAGTTGGTGGGTGGTTACAGGTATGGTTCATGTGAGGTTATGTGAAAAATGAGGTCATTGACATAGCTTGTACCAGTGTTTTAGACAGCCTGAAATTTTTTTCCATCATTATGTTTACTGAAGAAAACATAGTTTTTGCTCAGTTTCTTCTTCCTCTTCTTCTCCTGCATACAGTGACCTCAATGACCTGAACCAACGTTGTGTGTGCTACCATGGTAACTAGTGTTGGGTTACATCATGTTGCAATTTTATAGCCGGAGGGATTTAGACTCCTGTCTGACGATATACATGTATATGAATGTGTTTGAGTAAGAATTAACAGAGCAGACCATATGCGAAGGTAAACATTATGCATTTGCCTTGCAAATGTTACCTTTCTAGTTTCATTTGACATAACAACATGTCCAGCTAATTGTAGGGAAACCAGGTAAATTCTTCCCCTGGGAAAAATTTTGAATCCCAGCCCTCTTAAATGCTATTTTCTGCATTTTGCGGGGCAACTTTTGCTGGTAGACTGAGCTTAGTTCAATGACATCTCTTCACATACCATGTCTGTCAAGAATGATGGATTGGGCAGAATTTTCATGAGCAGAAAAACTCTGTCAAATGATGGAAAGACAGACACTGGCTAGAACACTAATCTTCCTAATAAGTGCTCCACAAGTGTTCTATCAAGTGTTCTAACAAGTGTTCCACTGTAACTCGCATTTTAACTATGCATTCCTCTAATTGGTATCTAGTCAAAGGTTTAAAATCCTGTGCATTTATGGATGGGTAGTCAGAAGCAAAAACCATTACATTCTTCAACGTCACAGCATTCTTTAGTGTTGGTGATAGACCTGAAACATAATTCTTGGCAAGCGTGTGGTTCTTTTATTGCACATTAGGAGACTATATGAATTGACAAGGCTTTCTGCTTGTCTGAAGTGCGTATCTAAGTGCCAGTTCTGCCAGCCATAACTGTCTCCTCATTACCATTAAAGTTGATGGAGGGTCTCGATGTATGTCCCACCAAGCTATATATAACGCAGGTGGAGATGTAAAGGGAGCTGGGAGCTACCACTAAGAGTGTTCTGCCAGTGAGGTGCCACTCTATTATGAGGCTTACCAGCTGTGTTCTTACCTTTATAATGTGCTGAATGTAATTTAGTTGTTCACACCAGTTATCAGGCCACCCCATTTTCAATTTGTTGTCCGATTCACCCACTTTATTTTCTTCTGATTTTTTTGCTGCCCAGTCAGCATGCTGTCAGAGTGTCAGAGTCAAACTATTCATGTTCTGAATTAACTGCAAAATGCTCATACATATCTTGGTCCCAACATTTGAAGAAAGACCTTTTCTTAGTTTTCTAGTTGTTACATCTATTGAATGCAGTGGTTTGATTAAAAAGTCTTTTTAGTCACTTTTATTAGGCTTTCTTTTTCGTACTGGTATCTTTATTTTGCCTGGCAAATGGATAATGTGTAATATTTACTATACCCACCAAAAGATCTGCTTGGAGATGAACATGTAACTGCACATAACAATAGAAACCTTCAAGGGTGATATGGATCCATGCTCTGTTGATATTGATACATAGCATGTGATGTTACCAGTATTACTGTTTAATCAACATCAGTGATAAGAATCTTCCGTTAGTGTAACCTCTAGTGAGGACACTAGGTAATAGTAGGTATATTTACATTAGTAGGTAAATAGTAAATAGGTAAATAGTAGGTATATTTACATTATTCTTTCAATTGACACCATAAATATTAGCTCTGAAGTTGATGAAAAAAATGACATCTATTGTGTCAAAATTGATGGCAAACTGGCTTATTCCATCAAGATTCTCACTAGTTTAATAAAAAAAAAGTTTTCTGCCATATTGGACCATGTGCGGTCCCAAATAGTGCCATTTGTGGTCACGTTGGACAAATGGTCGGCTTAGTCCTGTATAATGATCACGGGAAAAAATCGGGACAGTGAAAAAAACACTCGTTACGGTCGGCATATATATGTTGCTTGGGCAAGTTTGACTGTAACATCTGTGTCCATAATATCACCAGGGTCCATAATATCGCCACCTTGAGAAACATGCAGTGTGCTTAAAGATATTTTTACTGCAACACTATTTCTCAAGGTGGTGATATTATGGACCCTGGTGATATTATGGACACAGATGTTATAATCTAACCTCTTTATTTATGCTCAAGTTGTCTGATATTGCTTGAAATGAACTTCTCCAGTAAATGTACATAAAACTATCTCACAAGTAGTCAATGTCTTTCCAAAAGGCAGAATACGTCAAACAATGTGCTTCTACTTCTCTGCCCTGCCAGAAATTTTGGTTTGATTAATACAGCCCTTTGGCACTTTAGATCCATTTGCTGGTAGGAAATAGATTGGGAAATTGGATGAGTGTGTGTGGTTAGATGGTATCCATGGATCATGGCTTCATTCCAGCACGGAGACTTGTGTGATGCAGGCCAGGAAATTGGGTTAGGGTATCACAAGGAGGATTGGGAGGGGGGCATGGCTGATGAAATCTCAAAGATAAGGTATACATAGTATTATTGGGCCACCCTCATTCAAGCGTGGCAACGTGGTCTAGACTTGTGGTAAGGAGCGTGTCGGCAGAACATACTGCGCCTACACGAAACCCCATTTTTCACAGTTTTAGTTGAATTTTTGGTCAACGTTGCATTGAATTTTGCCTGTTGCAGACGATATTTTTTCCGACGTAACATTTGGAAACTGCAGAAGGAGTGTTAACCTTATATGCACAAATACGATCTTATATGAGACGTTTTGCTGAAGTTCTGTGCACAACACATTACGGGTTTTTCGCAGGTGCTGCCGACATTCTGTGGTTAGGGTTGTTAACTCAGTCAGAATCTGAAGGTTCTGGGTTTGAATCCCTGGCAGGCCTCACTGTTGTGTCCTTGGGAAAGGCACTTCACACCTATCTCCTCACTTGAGTCAGGTAAAAACGAGTACCTAGCTTTGGTTGAGGATGCCTTCTCGGATATGACATTAAGCTGAAGAGTGTTTGAGGAGAGCCACACCTTGAGCATGTTAAATATAGCACCACACTTATCGAAAAGAGCACGGGCCCTTCATGGTTCAAACAGAGGCGGCGGCACGAAATTTTGACTGGGGGGGCGAGATTTTCCCCCATATACACTACCTTTAGTCCATATACACTATCTTTAGTATCTTTGTCTGCGGCGCGTCGCGCCACAGGCGCGGCGTTATCTAGGGGGGTCCGGGGGCATGCTCCCCCGGGAAAATTTTGAAATCTAGACCCTCTGAAACGTTATTTCCTGCATTTTGAGGGGCAAATTTTGCTAGGACTTAGCTCAGTTTTTTTACCCCTACCAAGGAACTGTACGATAGTTTACGGGGGGGGGGGGGAGGGCCGGTCGTCTGAGGGGGGAGGGCCTAGGAAAAAAATTTTGAGCCGGGGGAGGGCCTAGGAAAAAATATTTTAATTTGGGGGAGGGCTTAGGTAAAAAATTTTTCCAAGATCCCTTTAACTCTACAACGTTTTTATACACTTTCAAAACATGATTAACGTCTGTCCCATACATATCGTAGTGATTTGCCGGT